GGCTATGATTGTGATTATGACGATACACTGTGGCCCTGATTAACCCTTTGCTTACTGGGCCCTTAAACCCCCTTCATGACCAGAGCGCTTTTTGCAATATATGCAGTGTCGGATTTGTTTTAAATGTTGCAATGGTTTTGCGGCTCCCAGTCTTTTTTTCCCTCTTGGAAACGGGTCCAAGTGGCTCTTTATGTCTTAAAGGTTGCAGACCCCTGCCCTAGACCTTTCCCCATTTTTTGTTGCTCATCTCTGGATTTGTTTTATCGTATGAATATCTTTTTGTAAGTGAGGTCTCTAGAATTGACCACTAAGTATTCTAAGTGGGGTCAAACTAAAGATCTATATAGAGGAATCAGGACTACCTTCCTCATGATGGTGATTCCTCTAGCAATTCACTATAGAATATGATAATGACAGAGAAGTTTTTTAAAACTTTTTCAACAAAACATTGGTCTTCATGGTGTTGGAAGTGCAATATAAGGAAGGTACCCATATAGGACAGTCCCACGTAAATCAATAGACTATGGTGGCATTTCAGCTGCTTCCTAGTCTAGTCAACCTTGGGAATCTTAATCCTCAATTCATAAACAATTAGTAGTATAAAGTAGATGTAAACCCAGTCATTAAAGTCTCATATCATTTTTGACACATTTGTAGGCAGGGGTAAGCGTGAGAGTGGTAGAAACTCCCTTTTCTGCAGGTTGTTCTAAGCTTTGGAATCCTGCAAGGGGTCTCAGTCTTTCTAACATTTACCACATAGGAGTAGTCAGAAACCCGTTTCACTTCTTTGTCCAAGGACTTTCACTGAACCTCTTGGTAACATTCATGTGTCCAAAAATATGGTAGTGGAAGGAGCTCTCTCTACAGCAGGTTTGCCTAGCTTTGTAATCCTACAATGGGTCCCTTAACCTTCCAACATTTTGCAAACAGGAGTAGTCAGAAACCAAGTTCCATGAGGCAGGTTCACTTTCAACCCTACAGAACAACAGGGACATTCTTTACTCTAGAGGACTCTATTCACACAGTATATTCAGACTCTGTACCAGGGCTGATCCCTCTATGGACCAGCGGGATGATGGACCTCGAACCATCAATAAACAGCCAACTGGTACTGTGCCATTAATCAATCCCTATCCTGCTGCTACACAACTTCTCCTCTCCTGGGGTTATCAAAAAATAGTCCCATTTAACTTTGTGTCTAAGATGTCAACATTCATATGTCCATGGCAGAGAACATTCATAAAACATTCTGAACAAAAACATTTGTCTTTTTTGGTTCAGGCAATGCATGATAAGGTATGTACTCAAATATCACAGAGCCATATAAATCAAGACACTGCAGTTGCAATTTAGCTGCTTCATAGTCTATTCCAATCTTGCAGGCCTCACTCTCCACTGCATCTTTCTGTATCCAGGGTGGCTCAACCTTCCTTAGCTACAGGTAACTGCTGAGTGCGCAGCTACAGTGGGGCAAAAAAGTATTTAGTCAGCCACCAATTGTGCAAGTTCTCCCACTTAAAAAGAAGAGAGAGGCCTGTAATTGGCATCATAGGTAGACCTCAACTATGAGAGACAAAATGAGAAAAAAAATCCAGACAATCACATTGGCTGCTTTGGAAAGAATTTATTTGCAAATTATGGTGGAAAATAAGTATTTGGTCACCTACAAACAAGCAAGATTTCTGGCTCTCACAGACCTGTACCTTCTTCTTTAAGAGGCTCCTCTGTCCTGCACTCATTACCTGTATCAATGGCACATGTTTGAACTTGTTATCAGTATAAAAGACACCTGTCCACAACCTCAAACAGTCACACTCCAAACTCCACTATGGTGAAGACCAAAGAGCTGTCGAAGGACACCAGAAACAAAATTGTAGACCTGCACCAGGCTAGGAAGACTGAATCTGCAATAGGCAAGCAGCTTGGTGTGAACAAATCAACCGTGGGAGCAATAATTAGAAAATGGAAGACATACAGGGCCACTGATAATCTCCCTCGATCTGGGGCTCCAAGCAAGATCTCACCCCATGGGGTCAAAGTGATCACAAGAACGGTGAGCAAAAATCCCAGGACCACACGGGGGGACCTAGTGAATGACCTGCAGAGAGCTGGGACCAACGTAACAAAGGCTACCATCAGTAACACACTATGCTGCCAGGGACTCAGATCCTGCAATGCCAGATGTGTCCCCCTGCTTAAGCCAGTACATGTCCGGGCCCGTCTGAAGTTTCTAGAGAGCATTTGGATGATCCAGAAGAGGATTGGGAGAATGTCATATGGTCAGATGAAATCAAAATAGAACTGTTTGGTAGAAACACAACTCGTCGTGTTTGGAGAAGAGAGAATGCTGAGTTGCATCCAAAGATCACCATACCTACTGTGAAGAATGACGGTGGCAACATCATGCTTTGGGGTTGCTTCTCCGCAAAGGGACCAGGACGACTGATCCATGTACAGGACAGAATGAATGGGGCCATGTATCATGAGATTTAGAGTGCAAACCTCCTTCCATCAGCAAGGGCATTGAAGATGAAACATGGCTGGGTCTTCCAACATGACAATGATCCCAAACATACTGCCCGGGCAATGAAGGAGTGGCTTCGTAAGAAGAATTTCAAGGTCCTGGAGTGGCCTAGCCAGTCTCCAGATCTCAACCCCATAGGAAACCTTTGGAGGGAGTTGAAAGTCTGTGTTGCCCAGCGACAACCCCAAAACATCACTGCTCTAGAGGAGATCTGCATGGAGGAATGGGCCAACATACCAGCAACAGTGTGTGCCAACCTTGTGAAGACTTACAGGAAACGTTTGACCTCTGTCATTGCCAACAAAGGATATATAACAAAGTATTGAGATGAACTTTTGATATTGACCAAATACTTATTTTCCACCATAATTTGCAAATAAATTCTTTCCAAATCAGCCAATGTGATTGTCTGGATTTGTTTTCTCATTTTGTTGAGGTCTACCTATGATGCCAATTACAGGCCTCTCTCATCTTTTTAAGTGGGAGAGCACAATTGGTGGCTGACTAAATACTTTTTTGCCCCACTGTACATGCAAGCAGCGATGGGCACTGTCAGCCTGTCATTACTTTGCAACAACTACGTGGTTACCACTATTTGCATACATCTGTCATCCCAGACACAAAAATCTAGTGTGATGAAACATTAGAACACTGCCAGGCTATTACTGCTGTATGCGCCTCCCTTGGGAGATACACTCCCTCTATGTATTCTGTTGACCAAGGGGAGAATAGACAAAATTTTGAGTTGTCACCAGAAAAGCAATAGAGACAAAATCACCTGTTTCAGTGGCATCTGTTTAAGCAGTTCTCCATATTTTGGAGTGCAATCCTCACTTCTTGTTGTGCTCTCAGGACAGGAAGTAAAATGAACTCTCCCCAAAGGGAATATCCATCTCTCTATAGAGAAACCTCAGCCTAACAACTGTACTTTTACTTTATCCAGCAGCTCCCCCTCGCAGTTGCTAATTTTTTATTAATTGCCTCTCCCTAGATTGTAAGCGCTCATGAGCAAGATTCTCCTAATCCTCTTGTCTTGATTTGTTTTGTAACTGTACTGTTTCTTGTTATATTGCAAAGCACTAATAAAATAATGATACTAATAATAATTTAAAAAAAAAATAATATGTCAAGAGTTCAGGTTTAAGTTGTTGTATTTGTCTTGAGTGGTGAGAACAGTAATAAATAGAATCCAAGCCTTTGAACTTTTAAAAAGTAAATTAAGCTCCCATCTTCCTGCTTCTAATCAGGAACTCGCTTTGCCCATTCAAATCAATCGAAATTATATCCAACCAAGGAAATACCACAGCAATGAACCAATCACCCTAATGAATCAGCAAATTTCAGGCAACAAAGTGAATCTTCATAGTCACAGAAGGATTGAAACTTTATAGCTAACAAAATTGAAACACCACTTCTATCATCAGTTTAAGTGATGGCTGAAAATATTTCCAGCTCAATATTACCCAGATGGGTCCGGTCGTTCTACAAGTACATTCTCTTCTAAACCTAATGCTTAACCACTAAACCGCCATTTAGAGGGAATCATTCAGACATGAACTGTTTCACTTTTACACCAGCCTTATGCAAAGCCTGCAGATTTCTGCAGGGCCTCCAATAAAATCTTGGAAAAGGTTCAACCTTGCTACAAAGCTCCAGAACTTAAAAGCCATCTCCAAAGAGAATAGCTCAAAGAATGGCAAATTCCTAATGATTGAGGAAGACTGTCAAATGATGGTTCATGCAGCCACACACTAGCTGCCTGAAAGATAAGCCCTATGCCTCATGATCCCTGATATCTGTCAGAGTGCTAACTGTTCTCTAGCACTGGGTCCACTTAATAGGATAGGCTGTCAAATGTCCAAATCTGATAATCAGCTTTGTGGTCAGCAATGCAAACAGACGAAATGATGCTGTTCTTATGCACTGGTCATTTCTATAGAAAGCCAGGCAGCAAAATATTTAGCCAGTTGGAAGTACATGGTAATGAAAAATGATGGAGCTGTATTGGAGTTACATCTTTTACTACCATAGCTGAATCAGGATTTATTTCTGATATAGGTCAGTAATTTTTTCCTCCAGTAGCCCACAACCGTGCTTGATTGACTATCAGTTCAAAGGAACGTTTTAGTGGTATGTGGCCTTCTGTTTTCTTACACAGCTTGAATCCCAAATGTGTCAAACAACCTAGTTAAACATTTATTCAAACACTCATATCCAGGGGCGGACTGACAACTCATGGGGCCCCCGGGCAATAGGGGATCACGGGGCCCCGGTGTCCTTGCCCAAACTCAAAAAAGCCTATGAAAAAGGTACCAGGGGCATCTCATGGGGCCCCCTACTGACCCCGGGCCCTCGTTTCCAAATGGTCAGTCCGTCCCTGGTATATACCATAGTTTGTAGATGCTATAACTTTCACACAAACTAATTAATAGACATTGATTGTTTTTTTTTTTTTACCAAAGACATGCAGCAGAACACAATGTATTTAAATACCTCTGATTGTTCTCATCCTTCCCCAAATCTCCAAATTCCTTTTGGCTACTCTGATCTGATTACCTGTTAGAGGTTGGTTACATTCGTTCTCCATGGTCCCACTCAGGGGCGGACTGACAACTCATGGGGCCCCGGGCAATAGGGGATCATGGGGCCCCTGTGTCCTTGCCCAAACTCAAAAAAGCCTATGAAAAAGGTACCAGGGGCATCTCATGGGGCCCCCTACTGACCCTGGGCCCTCGGGTAGTGCCCGAGTTTCCAAATGGTCAGTCTGCCCTGCTCATATCCACGCATAAATTATGTCATCTAAAGCAGCCTTTTTCATCCACTTAGGTGCCTTCTGGGTTCTTCAGGAGTGCCTTGGTAAAAAGACTAAAAATTGCCCCAAATTGTCCAAGAACTGATGGATCAGATGGATCAAAGCCACAGGTTTTCATTGTGCAACCTTACAACCTTAAGTACCTTGCAGGCCAGCCACCAATGTCCTAACTGTTGTGGTTACCTTCAGTTGATAAGGAGGACATTGGGTATCATTGCTTGACCCCACACCCTTCTCTATTAGCACTAGGGTCTTGTTAGCTGCATGTGGGAGAGAAAATGAGGGAGAAGAAATGAGTACTAGTCAGTACCAGTGTGAAAAAGTGTATTTGCGCTTTTGTGCAATTATTTTAGTTTTAAACATTTTAGAATGAGGTGCTCAAGACTGTGCAGAATTGTAAAGGGTATCTTGACCGGTAAAAGGTTGAGAAACACTGACCTAAGACATGAGTCATGGGATAATCGCTCATTCCAAAAAAAACAACTCAAGCCTTTAAATAAGAGGTAGAGATTGAAAAAGACATAAATAGTTACCAATCAACATAATAACCTAACAACCTCAGTACTGTCTGCATAAATGGGATGACATCTGGAGGTTGATTCTACATCTGTCTTGGCCATAAGTTCCCGCCTCTTTTACTAGAAATATATGTAACTTGTGCAAGAGCCTTATACATTCCATTAATTACCAGTCTGTGCCAAGGGAATGATATATGATGTATCAGCCCGAACTTTAAATACCTTTTTAAAGTGCGAATATAAGGTGGAAAAGTAAAAAATTGTTGGGAGGTAGCATAAGGGATGGGTCTACCATGTGTCCTGTCTTTTTGCAACTTCTGTTGAACCTCTTTAGGATACTCTCCAACATACTTCAACTTTTTTTGTAACTAAATAAAGAGCAGACTTACAAAAATCAACAAAACAGTCACTGAATCCATTACACAGCAATGCCACAACTTTTTTTTCAGTACATTTATCTAGCCATTGAGCCATTAGATTTTGAGTTCACTGGAATTGTTACCTTTTCAAGGTCTATCCTGATCCACTTTTTCCCATCTAAAAAGACTCACAATATGTGACTTGCACTGCAGCCCAAGACTGAAACTGCAGACAGTTCTCCACCACTATACTATGAATCAAAAAAAATCCAAAACGCCAATTCATTACACCGGCACTTGCCAGGGGACAGCTTGACATACAGGACAACTAACCTGACAAGCCTGAACATGTGCCCCATTCACATGCATGACCATCATCTAAATAATCGATAGTCCTATCTAGAGATGTGCATGGCGGAATCATTTGTTTTGTTTAGTTTCATATTACTGCATTAGGTTAATAGTTTTGTTTCGTTATTTGCGTTATGTTAGAATTATTCATTTTCAGGATTAATTTTGTGTATTAAGATTTATTTCGTAGATTCGTTATTTTCAAATCAATTCAAAATTCTAATTCAAAAATTGAAATGTGGAATTTCAGAAAATGGCTTTATTTGTTCTATTCTATTCTATATTATTCAATTTTTTCCTATACTATTCTTTTCTATTCTAGGCTACTCTATTTTATTCTATTATATTCCTTTCCAGTCTATTATTTTCTATTCTATTCTATTACTTTCTATTATTATTATTATTATACAGTATTTATATAGCTCCAAAGGGTATGCTCAACGCTGTACAGTAGCAAGGGGGACATAACATGAGACAAGACAGTAACAATACACTACACGAGGGGTTCGAGGGCCCTGCTCTTTCGAGCTTACAATCTAGGAGGGAGGGGAAGGTGGCACAGGAGGAGATGGCTGTGGGGGATGGAGTGGTAGGTGGAGTGGAGGAGGTTAGTTGTTAGGTGAGGTCAGGTGTTAGGTGAGGTTGGGGTAGGCTCCCTGAAGAGATGGGTTTTCAGGGTGCGCCTGAAGGTGAGGAGAGTAGGTGATAATCTGATGGATTGGGATTCTATTCTCTTATATTCTATTCCAGTTAATCCTATTCCATTCTGTTTTATTCTATTTTATTTTTTAATATTCTATTCTGTTTTATTATATTCTATTCTTTTCTGTTCTATAAAGCAGCCTAAAAAGGAATCATCACCTTTATAAAACATTTATACTTTACTGTATTTACTGCATTATATTTCTATTTCAAATCCATTTTCTAATTCAAATTCACTTTCAAATTTTGATCAGTCATTTCCATATCATTTATTTCAGATTCGCTGAAATTTGTTACTATAGTGATTCGGAAATTCGAATGCAGCCTATTTTCAGAATAACAAACATTTTGTCCAAATTTCGATTCATAACAAAATGCATTGCAAATTTCTAGTGCTATCTCAATTGATTGTGGTCACATCAGCATTTTCTGCCGAAATTGTACCACAGTCAAGCAATAAACCCATAAACCCAATGTTCTTCACAGATTGTACAGATGCAATGTTGAAAGGAGATAAGCAATGCTTTGGGTGTTTTACCCTCATCACACTTCCCTTAGTTGAGAAGGGTTCCAACCAGAGGCTGACTGACAACTCATGGGGCCCCCAGGCAATAGGGGATCATGGGGTCCCTGTGTCCTTGCCCACACTCAAAGCACACACACAAAAGCCTATAAAAGGTAACAAGGGCATTTCATGGGGCCCCCTACTGACCCCAGGCCCTCGGGCAGTGCCCGAGTGCTCGAATGGTCAGTCCACCCCTGCTTCCAACCTGTTTCTAGATATGTGCAGTATCAGCCTATAGCCATTTTCCTTCTTTTTGTGGCCATCCTCCTTTCATTGGTATTTTCCTAGTTAATATATTGTAGCAATCCAGGTTTACTAAAGTCAAAATATTGAAATGCTCTACTTTTCTGTTTTTGTCAGGCTTTAGGTGGACCACCAGAAAGCCTTTACAACATACATACAGTACTTAACAATTTCCAAAATTGTTGAAAGTCTCATTGGGGCTGTTCATTTGCCAGGGACAGATCCCTCAAAACTTTGGCACTGTCCTTGGAAAATGGGGATGGGTGACAACCATAGCTTAGCCACATGTACATGGGCCAGACGGGAGCAGTGCAGGAGCGGGTGGCCATTTAATAAACATCCTTCCGCATTCCCTGCCTGTGCGAGCTCCCGCCGATCGCTGTACGGGACCTCTGTGTGAGGTCCCGTTCATGTGATCACTGATTGGCCAATCAGTGATCACATGAATAGTAGTAAGCAAGATGTCACTTCCTGACATCATTGCTTACTACTTGTGAAATCTGTGAGAGATTACATGGTACAAGGCTATTCACAACAGCATTGTACCATGTGACAAGCTGTGACCAATCACAGCTCACACAGTATTTCTCAATGGCTGCAAGAATGCAGTCAGAGAGAAGGAGAAATTATTGATTTTACAGTCTTTATGGGTGTAAAAGTAATCAGTGTAAAAAAAAAAAAATCTTCATCACCCCCCACAAGTAGTACAGCGTCACTATGGTGACACTGTACTGCTAGGGTGAGAATATGTTAAAAAAACATAAATAATAATATAAAAAAATAAAATAAAAATGTACATTTAAAAAAAAAAAAAAAAAATAGAATTTTTAGTTATAAACTAATTTGTTTTTTTTTTTACTAAACAGATAGCTGAATACATTTTGGCCAAGATTTATGAAGAAAGATTATTTATTTGCAAAATTTTATAAGAAAAACACTTTTTTTTTCAAAATGTTTGGACTTTTTCATTTACATAGCAAACAAATAAAAATCTCAGTGGTGAATAAATACCACCAAAATAAAGTTTTATTTGTCTCAAAAAAATGGTAAAAAAGTCATATGGGTGCAGTGTTGCATGACCGCGCAATTGTCATTCAAAGTGTGATAGCACTGAAGCTGAAAATTGGCCTGGATAGGAAGGGGGTGAAAGTGTCCGGACTTGAAGTGGTTAAGCACAGTTCCTAGATGTTCCCAAGAGCATAACCAATCTTCACGTGTTTCAGAAACCAAACACGTTTCAGAAAAGTATACATCATTGCTTAATTACTCAATGTGACTATAAAGCTGGAACAATTGTCCAACTGTAAGTACATATGTAGGAAAACGACGTCATCAAAATAACGAATAGCATAATAATGATAACAAATGCATTACCCTTCAGCATTAAGAGAATTAAACACAGCTCAAAAACATGATAGAAGAAGAAAAGACCTAATGACCTCCAGAGCTAGCTGGACTAGGTAAGTGAGCTAAGAGGACAGCTGGACCTGCATGTATTAGGCCCATGGGTCCAACATCACATTTTGAGTTCTGGTCCACTTTAACATTAACCCCCCTGGCGGTATTCCCGAGTGTAGCTCAGGGTGAACTTTCAGTACCAGAAGCAGTAAACCCGAGCTACACTCGGGAATACTCTGCAGTGTTGCTCTGGGATCCCTGGATCACTTACCTTGTCCTGCGCTCCCGCGCTGTCCTCCCGCTACGTTCCCGGCCATCTCCGGCCGATACCAGCATCCGTCTTCCGGGTTCCGTTCCCTGCGAGCGTCGGGACATACAGGGGGCAGATCAGGCAGGAGATTAAAAAATTTAAAAATTTTACATACAAATAATACACTAAAATCACATAGTATAACATTCCTGTATCAAACCATTTCACATACATTTTGTCCCGAGTGCTTTGTCCGGCGCCCTGCCTGCATTTTTACTGTTCTTTCTGCCTGGAAACTGGGAAACGTCCATGGCGTCCAAAAAGCGTCCCTTTAAGTCAAAAGCGGTTTTAGACCGGCTAGAGAACAGCGATAGTAAATCAGAACCACTTGCAGAATTGAGTGATAATGATTCGTGGGGGAAATGCGTCATCAGACACTGAAAACGGTTTTGCGACTGAGCTCAGCGATGTGCGAACTTGGCGCTCTATTTCAAATTTCAGTGTTTTTGGTTTGATTATATTATTGAATTAAATTTATTATTATATTATTATTTTTTATGATTAATTATTTATTATATTCTAATTTATGATTTTGTGTTTCAAATTTTATCATACCCGGGATGTTTACTAGACTCTTGTTCAGACAGATTTCAGTGAGTTATTCCTAAGAATTATAGGCCTACAATAAAAAAAACAACATATTTCCATGCAAAACAATGTACCGCTTTGAGCACAGAAATACTGACATAATCAGACCGCAGGGAGGTTAATAAAAAATTCTCCAATATGTTCAAATATAGTGCACAGTTTAACTACTACTGTAGCTCCTAAAAATATTATATAGCGGAAAAAAAATAATTAATCTCCTCGAAAGAGCAGGGCCCTCGATCCCCTCATGTTTTGCATTGTATTGGTATCGTTCTGTCACATGTTCTGTCCCCCTTTGTAATGTACAGCGCTGAGCGAACTATTGGCGCTTTATAAATACTGTATAATAATAATAATAATTAATGTGGTTGTAAAGGCTGAAGGTTTTTTACTTTAATGCATTCTTCTTCAAAGAAACCTTCTGTGTGCATCTCCTCCCCATCCCCCATACCTACCTGAGCCTGATCTCAATCCAGCTCTGTGCCCAAAAGCACAAGCCCTCTCCACTCTTTCCCTCCTCACCACAGCCAGTGTAAAGTGAGTATGCGCCAGGGGCGGACTGACCATTTGGAAACTCGGGCACTGCCAAGGGCCCAGGGTCAGTAGGGGGCCCCATGAGATGCCCCTGGTACCTTTTTCATAGGCTTTTTTGAGTTTGGGCAAGGACACAGGGGCCCCATGATCCCCTATTTCCCGGGGGCCCCATGAGTTGTCAGTCCACCCCTGGTATGCGCATAGAGCTTAGCTCCCCCATAGTAAGTGGCTTGCTATGGGGGCACTCAGCAGGGGGGAGGAGCCAGCAGCCCCGGCGGGGGACTGCAGAAAAGAAGGATTGGGACTGCTCTGTGCATAACTATTGCACAGAGCAGGTAAAAATAATGTGCTTTTTTTTAAATACATTTTTATTTTATAAATAAATCAGGTTTGATTAAAATGGTTGCTATGTTTGAATAGTTGAATGTATTTTTTACTTGGAAAATAATGAGTATAGATAGTGTTCACTTTCAGTGTTGTACATTAGAAAAATGTCTTCTATGATTCTCAGCCAAATATTAGATAGAAGGAAACAAAAGTGAAAGGGACAGTTGTAAAATAAAAGTTCAAAGCTTGTAGAAAGTAGTTTAAATATCCCAGAACAGTAATTAATCCCAGGGTTTTATGTTTGTTTTATGAGTTTGCTGAAACCAGCAGAGAGAATGGGACCTCCAGGAAAGAGAAACATTTAAAGACAGATCATCTTCAAACAGAGACAATGAATTATCTGCATGTAAAATATTGTTTAAATTCAAGCAGCTACCTCTTGTGGTCTGACACTGACTTTATGCGGCTGAACATGAATTATGAGACCCAGAGGTCCAGGAAAATAGAGCTATGCATTGCTGTCCGTCAAAGAAAATGTTCTATTAACCTTTTCAGGGTTCTAACTAACCACAATACGCTCTTTAAAGAATAAAACATTAAACAAAAAAGAAAATTAAAACACCATTTAATAGTTAGGAATGAGCAAAACTGCCTTGGGCTTGGTTTAGGTGGTTTTTTTTTTTTGCGAATCTCAAAAAAGTTTGGATGCTATACCTGAACCCCAATGAAATCAATGGGATCCAAATCTGTCAAATTAAACTTGTCAATTTTCTGGGCTAATGGGAAAGGGGGGGGGGGGTGGTAAAAAAAAAAAACATGCGAGAGATGGGCACCTCCTTGGGGAACATGTACCAACGGTAATTTTTTTAATTTTTTTTTTTTTTTATTTCATTCAGTTAGGATCAGTAATTATTTAAATTCTTAGTGGAATATTAAAAATGCCCAATTTCTTTAACCGCTTGCTTACTGGGAACTTTTAATCCCTTCCTGGCCTGGCTAATTTTCACCTTTCAGCGCTGTTGCACTTTAAATGACAGTTGCACGGTCATGCAACACTGTACCCATCACAGCGTCATCATAAAACTGATGCAATGGTGATCAGGAACACTTACTGGTGACAGTATGTTAAAAAAAAGTATAATAATATTTTTTTTTTATTTTTTTTATTAAAAAATAATAATTTTTGATTACATTTTTTAATTTTTTAATGATTTTTTTTCTACTCTTGTGACCAGAGCAGTACAACGTTACCATAGTACTACTCTGGGCAAGTGATCAGGATTCATATTTTTTTTTTACACATTATGATTGCTTATACCAACTCATTTCATTAGTATAAGCAAGCATTTTTACTGAATGAATCTGATTCATTCAGTAGTTTTTGATGTGATCAGCTGTGATTGGCCAGTGACAACCGGTGACAGATCGGGCTGGAGCAGGGGCGGACTGACCATTTGGAAACTCGGGCATTGCCCGAGGGCCCGGGGTCAGTAGGGGGCCCCATGAGATGCTCCTGGTACCTTTTTCATAGGCTTTTTTGAGTTTGGACAAGGACAGATGGGCACCTCCTTGGGGAACATGTACCAATGGTAATTTTTTTTTTATTTCATTCAGTTAGGATCAGTAATTATTTAAATTCTTAGTGGAATATTAAAAATGCCCAATTTCTTTAACCGCTTGCTTACTGGGCACTTTTAATCCCTTCCTGGCCTGGCTAATTTTCACCTTTCAGCGCTGTTGCACTTTAAATGACAGTTGCACGGTCATGCAACACTGTACCCATATGAAATGTTTATCATTTTTTTTCACAC